CTCTCTCTCCTCTTCTCTCTCTCTCTCTCTCTCTCTCCCTCTCTCCCTCTCCCTTTCTCATCCCCTCTCTCTCTCGTCCCTCGTCTCTTCTCTTCTCTCTCTCTTACTCTCTCCTCTTCTCGGTCTCTGTCTGTCTGTCTGTCTGTCTGTCTCTCTCTCTCTCTCCTCTCTCTCTTCCGTCTCTCCTCTTCTCTCTCTCTCTCTCTCTCTCTCTCTCTCTCTCTCTCTCTTTTGTCTGTCTGTCTACATATACTATATATATATAATATAATATATATATATATATATATATATATATGTGTGATGTTGTGTTGTGTGTGTGTGTGTGTGTTGTTGTGTGTGTGTGTGTGTGTGTGTTTATATATATAATATATATATATATATATGATATATATATATAATATATATATAATATGTGTGTTGTGGTGTGTGTGTGAGTGTTGGTGTGTGTTGTGTGGTGTGTGTGTGTGTGTGTGTGTGTGTGTGTGTGGTGTGTGTGTTTGTGTGTGTTGTGTATTTATATATATATATATATAACACACCACACCACACACACACACACACACACACAAACACAACACACAACACACACAACATATATATATTTATATATATGTGTGTGTGTGTGTGTGTGTGTGTCTGTGTGTGTTGTGGTGTGTGTGTGTGTGTGTGTGTATATATATATATATAATATAATATATATATATATATATATAATAGACGTGCGTGTGCATATCTATATATCTATCTATATCATGTTTTTTTTTAATCTTTGATTTATATGTAATATATTATATCTATACTCACACACATACACACTACACTTACACAAACAGATATATATATATATATATATATATATATTATTATTTATATATAATTAATATTATAATATATATAATATTATATATAATATATATATATAATATATATATATGTGTGTGTGTGTGTGTGTGTGTGTGTGTGTGTGTGTGTGTGTGTGTGTGTTTGTACACACCCACACACACGCGCCACCCTAAGGCTGACTAGGCAGAAACCAAGGGCCCACCATGAGTAAGGCCAAATGCAGCCTTTTTTTTTAGTACTTAAACGTTGACACTAAGGATTCGACAAACGCATCCTGCCCTCACTGATTTATAGGAATCTTCCTTGATATGGGAGACGCTAAGGATGCTGAGCCGAGACATCTTATACCAAAGGGGCCTCTGCCAATAACTTATATCTTTTATATTGCTTAACAATTCATTACTTAAGATAAGACTTCTACTT